CAATCACAATGAACTCTGTCGCAGCCAACTAGGTGCATGCTGGGACAAACACAATGCAACAATCCAGCGACTTGAATGCGCCAATGAACATATGATCTGGATCAAGTTTGCTGACACACTTGACCAGACAGTATTGACGATCGTTTTGATATGACATTTGCAGCAGCTCGAGTCATGTCTGGTGGTGCAACACACACAACAGTCATCACTCCATTCCATTCCACTATACGATGCGATGTGATGCTAATCGTATCATTCAGTACAGCAGTGATATTATTTTTGGCATACCGAGTAATCACCACTTGGGTCTTGCTATGGACGATAGTGGACATTTACTTGACTTGCAGTAATGGCAGTACTGGCATATACGTGATTCACTTCCATCATACAAACTGCTTCCAATTCGTGACGATGCAACTGATCTCGACTCGGATATATCTTGAAATCGACTAGTTGATGCAATACAGCAGATGGTCCACACCAAACACCTGGAAAACAACAGGATATTGGTCACATTCTACCGAGTCGCATTATATACATCGAATGCTACACCTGATGAACCACCCAATCCATTTGATCGTGTCCTGCTACACAGTTCAGTCAATATGTTGACGGCCACTATGCAACCTGATGGCAGTCTGCATACACTGTACCGATTGTACTGATTGCATATATTGACAAGAATAACGGTGATCACATTGATACAAACGACAAACACGGTATTATGCTGATTGATGTGTGTCATAAACTGGTATGCAAGGTCTTGCAAACACACATTGATGGATCGTGGTGCTCAACAAACTCGTCACCACTAAGCATGGTTGATTTCAAACCAAACAAATGTGTTGTGCAGGTTGGTTCATTAGTCGATATCGTTCAACGATGACAGTGCGTGCAGCCCAATACTATTGTTGTGTTGATTGACATTTGAAATGCATTCAACACTGTCATGGTTGGTGCCTTGATATGATAACTGCAACACATGTGATTGACACCACGCACACTGGTCTTGTTAACACCGCTGCACACATGCTCATCAGCTCGTGATCAGACTGGATCATTGATTTCTAACCCATTTCCATTTGAGCATGGAGTCCGGCAGTGATATCCACCGTCAGGTTGTTGTTCAACGTGTTCATCAATGACACACACGATGATATCAACCGATTGTCATTGCATGAGTATCGTGTAAATCACCACCAATGTGAGGGTTCATGTATGCCGACAATATCGTGATATTTGCCGAGTCTGATCAGTCACTCCAATTGGCATCTGGTGTACTTGCACGATGGATGGAACAATGTCAAATAAGCTTTGGTGTAGTCAAATGCAACATACTCAGTTTCCGTGGTCACAACACTTTGATTCCGAATTACCAATTGATATGATGCTACACGAACAACAGGTTCGTCGTGTTCAACACTACAAATACCTGGATGTTGTATTGCACGAACCACTATCACACCATGCGACTGGACTATAATCAGGTTGCTGTATGCAATAGCATGTTGGTTGTGTCCGGTTCTTGCAAACCATCAACTCACAATCAACTTTCAGACACGAATATGTTTGGCAGTTAGTGTTTTGCAAAAATTTCGCAAAATATGCGAAATGGAATGGATTTTGGATTGCGAAATAATCATTATTTTGCAATCCTGTTTCTGAGATCACCTTAAACTACCACGCTATCACATAATGTAACTTCCTCTATGGAAGTGTATGAGCTGTCGTCAACGTCAATCGATCGACACGAGGATGCAAGCAAAAGGAAAAGGAGGCTCAATGACAGTCATGACCATGCGTCGTCGTCCTTACCCTCAATCCCATGCTCTATTCCTTTAACAACCACACGTTTGTCTAAAGTCTCAAAGGCCAGTTTGGTGTGGCAGTTTTTGACAAGCTTGATGATATAAATGACCTTGACAAGGCGAAAATTCCCTGTAAAATTTGTCAGCAGCTCGTCAAGACAAATTCAAGAACCAACTTCAATCTTGTTGCCCATTTGATGACCAAACATCGCGACGCTCTATCAGATGCAATGTATCAGTATTCCAAAGACTCCACAAGTATAAGTTTGAAGGGTACAAAACTACAAAGTAAGATTCAAGACTGCTTTGAAAAAGGTAATCATTGCATACTCGTATGATGCGTCATTATTTCTGCTGTCTGGAATATTAATATTGTATTTTTTGATGTTAATCTATTTTCTTGTACTGACAGGGTTTACCCAAACAGAATTTCAAAACAAGCTACAGCGGTGGATCGTTGGTGACCAGC